AGCAACCATGGGCATCCACAGCGAGTCGCCGCCGTCGAACGCCAGCTGGCTGGCGGCCCCGCCGGGCGCGCGCGCCAACAGCACGGCCCTCATCAAGCGCCCCTACATGCACAAGCTGGCCCACCTGGACGAGGAGCTCTTCGACGAGTACCACGCCCTGTGGCTCACGCTGCTCGCCGTGAGCGTCGTCGTGAGCCTCGCGGGCCTCGCGGCCAACTCGGCCGCCCTCTGGGTGTTCAGCTGCCGCACGCGCTCCAAGACGGCGCCGGTCATCTACACGCTGAACCTCGTCGCCGCCGACCTCCTGCTGAGCCTCGCCATCCCGGCGCGCGTCCTCATGTACGCGAGCCGCGGCCGCTGCCTCGCCTGCTCGCACGCGCACGTGTTCGTCTACTTCGTGAACATGTACGCGAGCGTCTTCTTCCTCACCTGCATCGGCGTCGACCGCTACATGGCCATCGTCCACCCGCTCGCCTCGAAGCGTTGGCGGCGGCCGCTCTTCGCCGTCGCGCTGAGCGCGGTCCTCTGGACCCTCGCCACGGTCATCACCACCTCGGTCCTCACCATGGCCATCAAGTTCTCCGCCTGCTGCTACTTCAAGCTCTTCATGCTGTCGCTCTTCGAGTTCTTCCTCCCGTTCGCCGTCACGGCGTTCGTGACGGCGCGCATGCTGTGCGCCCTCCGACGCGGCGGCGGCGTCGGCGGCTCCGCGGGCTCCCGTGAGAAGCTGAGGCGCGCCGTGCGCCTCCTCGCCGCCGTCTTCGTCGTCTTCGCCGTCTGCTTCGTGCCATTCCACGTGCGCCAGGTGGTCCTCTTCGGCCACGACGCCGTCGACGAGTCCACGGCGCTCGTCGCCTACCACGTGACGCTCACGCTGAGCAGCTTCAACTGCGTCCTGGACCCCGTCGTCTACTGCTTCGTGACGAAGCGGTCGCGCGCGGCGCTGCGCTCGCTGTTCGCCCGCGGCCCCAAACGCGGGGGGGGCGTCGGCTGCGACGGTCGAGAAGGACGCGGCGCAGGGGACCGTCGCCGGCGAGGCGACCGGCGTCACCGCGACGGACGTCAGTCGCGGGCAGGCGACGTCCGAGACGGATATGTGATGCCTCGCGGTGTGGGTGGGTGTGGGTTAGGGGGAGAGGCAGAGGAGGAGGGAGAGAGAAGGATGAGAGAGGAGGAGAGAGAGAGGAGAGAGAGAGGAGGAAAGAGGAGGACAGAGGAGGAGGAGAGAGGACACGGAGGAGGAGGAGGAGGAGAGAGGAGAAGGAGGAGGAAAGAAGAGGAGGAGAGGACACGGAGGAGGAGAGAGGAGGAGAGATGACGTGGAGGAGGAGGAAGACAGGAAGGAGGCAAGAGGATGAATCGGAGCAAAGGCGAGGGCCGTGTGAGGTGGAGGAGGAGGAGCGAGCGAGTAGGGTTGGAGAGAGCCGTGCGGTAGGACAGGAAGTAGCACCACCACACCACCACACCACAACAACCACCACACCAGCACCACCATCACACCACCAGCACCAATTCAGCATCACACCAGCACCACCACCACACCAGTACCACACCAGTACCACCACCACACCACCACACCAGCACCACCACCACACCACTACAGACACCACACCACCAGCACCACACTATAACCACCACCACCACCACACCACCACCACACCACCACACCACCACCACCACACCACCAGCACCACGCTATAACCACCACACACCACCACCACACCACCACCACACCACCACACCGCCACCACACCAGCACCACCACACCACCACCACACCACCACACCACCACCACCACACCACCAGCACCACGCTATAACCACCACCACACCACCACACCGCCACCACACCAGCACCACCACCACACCACCACACCACAACCACACCACCACACCACCACCACCACACCACCAGCACCACAGCACCACCACACCACCACCACACCACCACCACACCACCAGCACCAAAGCACCACCACACCACCACCACACCACCACCACCACACCACCACCACACCACCACCACCACACCACCAGCACCACAGCAGCACTAACGGGCACGAGGAGAGCGTAGGGCCCTGGTTCAATGCTGAGGTCCCCTCAACAGCGTTCACATGAACCCCCTTGGCTACTCCACATGAACCCCCTTGGGTACTCCACATGAACCCCCTTGGCTACTCCACATGAACCCCCTTGGGTACTCCACATGAACCCCCTTGGCTACTCCACATGAACCCCCTTGGGTACTCCACATGAACCCCCTTGGCTACTCCACATGAACCCCCTTGGCTACTCCACATGAACCCCCTTGGGTACTCCACATGAACCCCCTTGGCTACTCCACATGAAACCCCTTGGCTACTCCACATGAACCCCCTTAGCTACTCCAAATGAACCCCCTTGGCTACTCCACATGAACCCCCTTAGCTACTCCACATGAACCCCCTTGGGTATTCCACATGAACCCCCTTAGCTACTCCACATGAACCCCCTTGGGTACTCCACATGAACCCCCTTGGGTATTCCACATGAACCCCCTTAGCTACTCCACATGAACCCCCTTGGGTACTCCACATGAACCCCCTTGGTTATTCCACATGAACCCCCTTGGCTACTCCACATGAACCCCCTTGGCTACTCCACACGTTGTGTGTAGTTTAACCCTAGTGTGTTCACGCTGTGTAGTAGTGTGTTCACGCTGTGTGTAGTTTAACCCTAGTGTGTTCACCCTGTGTGTAGTGTGTTCACGGTGTGTGTAGTTTAACCCTAGTGTGTTCACGGTGTGTGTAGTATGTTCATGCTGTGTGTAGTTTAACCCTAGTGTGTTCACACTGTGTGTAGTATGTTCACGCTGTGTGTAGTTTAACACTAGTGTGTTCACCCTGTGTAGTAGTGTGTTCACGCTGTGTGTAGTTTAACCCTAGTGTGTTCACCCTGTGTGTAGTGTGTTCACGGTGTGTGTAGTTTAACCCTAGTGTGTTCACGGTGTGTGTAGTGTGTTCATGCTGTGTGTAGTTTAACCCTAGTGTGTTCACCCTGTGTAGTAGTGTGTTCACGGTGTGTGTAGTTTAACCCTAGTGTGTTCACACTGTGTAGTAGTGTGTTCACGTTGTGTGTAGTTTAACCCTAGTGTGTTCACCCTGTGTGTAGTGTGTTCACGTTGTGTGTAGTTTAACCCTAGTGTGTTCACGCTGTGTGTAGTGTGTTCACGTTGTGTGTAGTTTAACCCTAGTGTGTTCACGTTGTGTGTAGTTTAACCCTAGTGTGTTCATGCTGTGTGTAGTTTAACCCTAGTGTGTTCACCCTGTGTAGTAGTGTGTTCACGGTGTGTGTAGTTTAACCCTAGTGTGTTCACACTGTGTAGTAGTGTGTTCACGTTGTGTGTAGTTTAACCCTAGTGTGTTCACCCTGTGTGTAGTGTGTTCACGTTGTGTGTAGTTTAACCCTAGTGTGTTCACGCTGTGTGTAGTGTGTTCACGTTGTGTGTAGTTTAACCCTAGTGTGTTCACGTTGTGTGTAGTTTAACCCTAGTGTGTTCACGCTGTGTGTAGTTTAACCCTAGTGTGTTCACCCTGTGTGTAGTGTGTTCACGCTGTGTGTAGTTTAACCCTAGTGTGTTCACGCTGTGTAGTAGTGTGTTCACGCTGTGTGTAGTTTAACCCTAGTGTGTTCACCCTGTGTGTAGTGTGTTCACGTTGTGTGTAGTTTAACCCTAGTGTGTTCACGCTGTGTGTAGTGTGTTCACGTTGTGTGTAGTTTAACCCTAGTGTGTTCCCCCTGTGTGTAGTGTGTTCACGGTGTGTGTAGTTTAACCCTAGTGTGTTCACCGTGTGTGTAGTGTGTTCACGGTGTGTGTAGTGTGTTCACGGTGTGTGTAGTTTAACCCTAGTGTGTTCACCGTGTGTGTAGTGTGTTCACGGTGTGTGTAGTTTTAACCCTAGTGTGTTCACCCTGTGTGTAGTGTGTTCACACTGTGTGTAGTTTAACCCTAGTGTGTTCACGCTGTGTGTAGTGTGTTCACGCTGTGTGTAGTTTAACCCTAGTGTGTTCACCCTGTGTGTAGTGTGTTCACGTTGTGTGTAGTTTAACCCTAGTGTGTTCACGGTGTGTGTAGTTTAACCCTAGTGTGTTCACCGTGTGTGTAGTGTGTTCACGGTGTGTGTAGTTTAACCCTAGTGTGTTCACCCTGTGTGTAGTGTGTTCACGCTGTGTGTAGTTTAACCCTAGTGTGTTCACGCTGTGTGTAGTGTGTTCACGCTGTGTGTAGTTTAACCCTAGTGTGTTCACCCTGTGTGTAGTGTGTTCACGTTGTGTGTAGTTTAACCCTAGTGTGTTCACGCTGTGTAGTAGTGTGTTCACTCTGTGTGTAGTTTAATCCGAGCTCTGTACAACCCCCGCCCTACTCGCGCCCAGCCACGTGGCTTTGTCATGATTTCGTAACCATTGCACAATTGATCTTGTTTTTATATATACTGTGATAATATTATTTTGTAATAACATTCCTGCTGAACGTAGCGGCCTATAAGGGCCGTCCATAAATGACGTCACGCGATTTTGGACGATTTTGACCCCCCCCCCCCTCGTCACACGGCGTCACAAAAAGTCAGGACCCCTCAAATATGACGTCACAAAGCTCTAACCCCCCCCCCCCCCTCCCAAAAACCACATTTCCATTTTGAAAATAAAACATGCTTCAAATCGCGTTAAACTATCGTCATTGTTGAGCGTATTTAATGCGCCGCTGCACTCTGATGTTGTAGGAGTGTTGTTATAACAATTCTATATTTATTTAAAGTTGCGCATTTCGATGTGACGTCACATTTATCCCCCCCCCCCCCCTCCTCGTCACACATCGTCACAAATAATAAAGTATTAAAGCTTTCGTGACTGCATAAAATTACTCATTGGTTTTTTTTCGGTAAAGTCACGTATGTTTTAACATAATTTTATTGTATTTTTACATACGTGATCGTCACAAATGTCTGACCCCCCCGCCCGCCCACCCTAGGTGCGTGACGTCATTTATGGACGGCCTCATATTGTCTGTCGGGGTCACACGCACGGACATTATAATACAACACGCGCTACACGCGCTCGAATCAAACCAAAACAATAACATTGTAATCGAGGAATCGTCACTCATCTTGAACGCTTCGCCGCAGCATGGAACGTCAGCCAACAAGCACAATGTGTTGCCGCTACATTGTTTGTGTGAAGTATTTCTCATGGCTCCCCGGTGTTGGCTTGGGTCACGTAGCCCGCATGCCCCCAGCGGCACGGGGCTAGAGAAGAGATGGGAGCTGGTGCGGGTTCAGGAGGACGTGGAGCTGAGTGGACTTGCCGATGACCGTGGCACCAGCGGTGTCAAGATCGGCCTCTGTGGAGGAGGAGGAGGCTCGTGAAGGACGCTGCTGCTGCTGCTGCTGATGCGCAGTTGGAGGCAGTCGCCCCTCCAAACAACAACAACAACAACGGAGGGCGGAGGGAGCGACGCTCACAACAACGAGCGGAGCGCCGGGCGGATAAAATGCCACGCGCGTCCGTCGGTCAACCCATGACAACCGAGTCTGTCCCGTGACCTCTTGCCAGCCAGCTAGAGCCTTCGAAACTCCACGTGACCGCCTCGAAGTGCACCTAGCCTTGGCACAAGCGCCGTGACAGACGTCACCGACACTGAGTGGCGAACGGCTGTTGTTGTTGTTGCTGCTGCTGTTGTTGTTGTTGCTGCTGCTGTTGTTGTTGTTGTTCTTGCTCGGGAAATTAAATTCACCCTCCTGGACATCTGTGACAAAGAGCTTAATGGATCATCGGATTCCTCCACGATAAATATTGTGTGTTTTTTTTTAATATATACGTGTATGAAAGTGCTGCCGACGTGTAACGGATTAAACACAACACTGCCCTTGCCAGCGATCGGTCACCCCCCCCCGTCGATCTCCGGGCGCGGCAGCTGAAACCCGTGCCAGGTTCTTAGCGCCTCTCCAAACCACGCGGCAGCAGAAGAGTTCGGTGGGACAGCGCGTGGCAGTGCCAACGGTGGTGTGGGTGAAGGGTGAAGCGTGGGCAACTTCTGCTGTGCCAGGCTAGGTGCACCAGGAGGTCACGGGACAGACCCAGCAGGTGCCACGTATCGACTGACTGAGATGACTGGGCAGATGCACCACCCTGT